AAAAAAAGTGACGCTGTTATTACACTGTTGTAAGATTTTTTTGGCCTGTTTTCTTTGATCACTTTCTTGCTGTTATTTCTCCTTCTTTTTTTTTTTTTTATCTTGTATTCACCATTACGAGTTCTGTTAGCGCTTGGTTGCTTTCTGTTTTTTCCTCCTTTTTTTTTCATGCCCTTTTTTTTTTTATTTTTGCTGTTTCTTACTCGCTAATACTAAAGTTCATTATAGGCATACATTTTAACAAACAGTGCGATAGAATGCGGGAATGAAAAAGAATTTTTTTTCTTGAATGTTTTTGTATGTTCATATGCATGTGCCTTCATTTTTTCCGTTTTTTTTTTCTGGGATATTTGTCACAGTTGCATTTCGTTAGAGATATTGACTTCGTTGAATATTTAGCCGACAAAAAGGAAGGAAAGTATAATTTAAAAGGGAGAAAGAAATGAATTTTTTTTTGCTCATTTTTGTGATTACGGCAGTGTCCTTATTGTAGTGGAAAAAAATCGTCGTTCTTGTGGCGACCTTAACGATACATTGAAGCGTATTCAAATGCTAGTTTTTCTCATCATCTTTTATTGCAATCATTTTTTTTCAATGGTTATATATATATATTAAATCGCATAATTTTTACTACGTCCTGTTTTCTATAAATTATTAAAATAAATACTCTTTTGCCTTTTTCAAATTGTGCTTTACTGACGCCAGTTAATTGCTGTTGTTTGCGTGGGGATCGTTCTGTTTACACATCCATAACTCGGTGGTTTTTGTTACCAAGTTTTCTTTTTTCGTTTTTCAGATTGAAAGAACATGTGTTCGTTTTTTTATCTTCTATTGATATATTGTATTGATGGTATAAATGCTTCTCTGTATCCGTTGGATTTAATTGAAGTGTCAATTCTTCGTTTCAATTTTAGCGACAACTGTAACTCCATTACGCTGTAATCGTTGTTGGAAATTTTACTGATGTCTATGTCGGTAGGTGGTGAAGGCAGCTCAAATTTATTCGTAGAACTGACTCCAATTTCGGAAGTGTGTGAATCGCCGGGGGGTAGTTCAGAAGCTACGCAAAGCAATATCGAGACCTCAGTACAACGTTTTCATTCATCGAAACATTCAACACATACGCCGCAGTCGTTTTTTTCAAAATTAAGACGTCAGTTTCCTAGACGGTTTTTTCGTAGAGAATCTAATAAGAATCGATGCATGATTGAGACGTTCCCAGTTTGTTCTTCCGAGCCCACCAGTTCAAGTAGGAGCGAATCTGAAGATGGAGGTTAGCATTTATTAATCTTCTATTACATTGGAAAACAATGTATAACAACAGTTTTTTGCTTCTTTCTTCGAGGTACTGATATGCATTAGATGATTTTTTGATGTTGGTTTTTTAGCGATTTAGATATTTGTTTTAGATGCAGTTCTTCAAGAAATTGATGATTTTGTGAAGTACAGCGGTAAGAAGAGATGGGACTCAGTTCAATTAGCAAGCTTTTCACGGCTATCGAAGCTTTTACAAGCTCCAGCCGTTTATGAAGATCCATACTGTTCTGTAGCTGTTGATGGAGCTATTTATGTTTCTGAATATTACCTGACTAGCAACTCTAATGCCACACATCGGCTTGGAAATCGTGAGGTATGGAGATTTATACTGACTGCTGTTTCCACTGTTTTCTTTTTTACTTTTCATAATTACAGTTACTCTTTTACTGTTCAAGGTTCATGCTGATTTTGATTAGCTGATCTCGATATTTTTAGCCAAAGAGTTCAAAACGTGCCGCTTTGTATGATATTGCAACAGTATTTCATTGCTCTGTTCCTATGGCTCCGGTACAGCTTTATAAGGAATGGGGACTGTCCCGTAATTCGGTCTGGTGGGCGAGTGATTCCTTCAGGTATCGTTTTAAAATCGTTTTTTACTTTTTTTGTAAATGGTTATGTGAAGTAAGCACTGCTTTTCACTAGGCTAGCTTAGCAGTTTGTTGTTGGCAAAAATGTCATCGTTTTGCAGAAGGCTGCATGATAGTCCGGATACAGAACTTGTGGTGCTTCGAATTAAAAGTACCTTCCCTATGCAGTTGGGTCTCACTGTTGTTAACTTCAAGGCTTTCAAAAGTGCTTTACTCCTTTGCGGCTTGAATGAGCAGTGTCATTTTGTCTCAAATTTGCCTGCTGTAAATTGCGACGTTATTAGGTTTGTAGCTTTCTCATTTGTAAGTCTTTTCTTTTTTCCCTAACTAATAATGTTTTTCATGTAAAACTGTAAGATCGTTAAGATCGTTTAGTCCTTTGTTCTTTGTCAAGTTTGTTATTTTTTAGGTTTATTGATGACACAGAAGCAGTATCAGTTGACGATGAATATGCCTCGTGAAAAAAGCTTGTATGAATGCTCTCTTTTATTTTAGAATTCTAGGGTTATGGCATTAGTTCTTCTTGAACGGTTGTCTCAAGTCATTTCTTTGAGAAAAAAGTGTGTTTTTCTTGAAAAGAACGTCTTTTAGTGCAAATAGTATCGGCAGTTTAATATTTGACTTACATTCCTATATTGTATTAGTTTCTGTCTAGAGTCGTATTTAAAGTTGTTATTTGTAGTGCTGTTGTGGAAGTAGTAGTTAGAGACAAACTTTTAACATTCACGAATAGTTCCCGTCGCAGAGTTTTTGTAGAAATCTTTGAATAAGTATTTTTGTAGTAGACTTTTTGTAAAGATGATGCTATGTGCAGTATTCGCTTCTTTTTTTTTTCTTTATTCGCTATACACTTCACGGGTTATCCGTTTAAAAATGAATCTCGGATCTAAAAAAGTGACAAACATATCTTTCACTAAATTTTTTATGAAATAAAATTTGTTTTGTCTGTTTTTTAACAGTGCTGAGTTTTAAACGTCTCGTTTCTAATCGCCTCATAAAGACAAAAAATTTATGGAGTTTCTTAGCTAAGAAAAATATTAAATTTTTGTATGCGATGCTTTCATATTTGGACAGTCATAACCTTCGAGAGAACCATTTTAACCAAATATTCTTGCTCCATCTGGACCTCGACATTTTAACATTTGCCCAGTGGTTTAATATTTGGGACCACTTTTCTTGCTTTTATTTAATTTAACCATATTCAGCTTTCTTTTCGTCTTATTTTAATGGGTTAGTGTTTTTATACCACAGATATGCTGGTTTTTGGTCGTGGTTTTTTCTTTTATCCCGACAAATGATCTGCCCTCGAGCTACCTCTTCTTTGCCACTAGTCGTTCAATAAAAAATCGTGTTGCTTAAGAAGAAAATTTGTAGTCTATCTAGTAGTGGGGGTTTTAATGCTGTTTATTTTTGTGCTTTTTGGATATTTTGCCACGATTCTGGTGAGAAACCTCTGGAATGGATGCATTGGATGTTTTGCTAATATATTTTACGCGAAAGAAATGAACTTAGTTTGAAGCAGGTGTCTGAAGGCTCATTTTTTTTGCTTCAATTAGCCTTTGATTCGTAAGCATCTATCGTTCAGTTCGCGCTATTCAGTTCCTTGTGGGCAAACTGTTGAAACTCACCCCTGGTAATTTTGAAAAAAGTTTTTTGTTGAAATAACATAGAAAGTGTACACAGATTATAAACAGTAGTAACGAGATCTGTCACAGTTGCAGTGTTATTAGTGAGGGTTCACCTCATCTGCTGAACTGCGAACTAGATGGGTACGAATGATGGATTGAACGCACAGTAAGAAAACGTTGCGGATAGTTTTGAAGGACGATGTTTTCAAGGGCGAGTTGGTCGTCCCTTACTCCTGTCTCTTCCGCTTTCATTGACAGTGTTATCGTCTTTGCGCACCTTTATTTTAACTTCGGCCAAAAAATGGAGCAAGCATTGATGAAATTAGCAAGATAGTTAATTCAAGCCATCACCTCCAAATGAGCGATCGTGGGGGTGTAGAAGAAACTTCTGAATGGTGCGAAGCATCTCTGATCGGTAATTCTTCTGGGCTGTGGATTCGCTGGGACTCATTCAGGATTGGGCAACTCACTGCGATTACATGAAATAGTTGTTGGATTTGTGTGGAAGTCTAAGTCATCAAGTACATAAGTATGGCAGTTGAGAAGTTTATTGGTTACGAGAGGGATCACGTGTTTTTTATTTCGGCCGTATTTAATGGCAAATATTCAGCAGTTATGCAGTTACTTTGTGCGAGTGAGAAGTCAGTTCAACATTGCATATTGCTGATACATCTGGTCGAAAGGAAGTCCCTAGACCCTTAGAGGCAGAGAAGCCTTTAGAGTGGGTTTAACCGACACAAAAACACCAGAACTGACAGACACTGAAGGTAGCATAATTTGTTGAAAAATTTGTATTTAATATCTTTTCAAAAATAAGTCCCTCGATTGTTTGGTGGGTTTCTTCGTGAGGTTACAGTCGTTACGTTGTATGTATTGACGCTCGTTTAACTGTACATGGCACCAACAACACATGTAACCAGACAATTCTATGCAGAATAGAAAAACGACAAATTTGTTTAAAACAAAAAAAAGTACATTGGTAATGCCTGCTTATTAGAGAAAGCTATCATTGGAGGTAGCTTCGTTTTAATGTAGCCGTAAGACTAGTTAAAACATCAAGAAAACTTTCATACTTCACCACAGAAATACAGCAGTCAACAGATGAGGCATTATTTGTTGAACAAAAATATCTTCTTCTAGAAGTTTTCAGCTATACTCAGTAATTTCTTGAGGAGTAGTTTTTTAAAAAATGATTTTTTGGTCGACATCTGAGTGTAATATATTGCTAAGCTGCATGTATTTCGATAGTAGTTGGAAGAAGATTGAATGGCGTGACTGAATGGTTGCTTAGATAGGAACTAGTTGGAACTTTTTGCTGTTTTATCTATTTAATCGAGGATTTTGATGAACGCCAGTTATTTTGAAAAATTTATTAAAATTATGTTGGCAAAACTCTTTGAGGATAAAACAGTTATACTCAGGGATTTATTTCTCCAAAACGTTAGGTTCAGAAAAAGTTCTCGATTAGATAAGGAGCATTTTACAAATGAGCTTCAAAAACTAAGCTCCTAGATTTAGCGGGTGTAATGTAGAAGGGAGTTGGAGTTTTACAGTATGATACCTACTAAACCTTTGAAAAATTTATTTATTTAAATGTCCCAGCTAAATATTGCTCAAAAATTTATCGCGGTACAGCTGAATTTGGACCTTGGTCAAGAAATAAAGCAGAGTTCAGTAGCTGCTAAGGTTCAGTCATTCATGGAACCTGCTTATCTGTTTTTTAATAATTTTGGAAACCACGGTTGCTTTTTTGACAGCATCCTTGTTCATTCACCGCTGAGATGTTTTTCAAAACAGTTTTTAAAACGTGACAAATGAATGCAGTTTTTTTCCTGAATCAGTACGGTATTAATCCTGTTAAACTATGCTTAACAGAAACTCCTCCCATCCTTCGTTGCCGGGGGAAGGAGAAGCTTTGTGTAAATTTAAATTTTATTTCTTTACTTTTTTTTTGTGAGGAGAAGAGGGGAGGGGGATGGAGAGAGAAGAAGACAGAGGGCAATTCACGGCATACTCTATAAAATACAAGTTTTAAGAGGCATAAGTTTTGACAATGAACTTCGATCTAAAGGGTAGTTTGCTTTTGAGAAGCTACCAAGAGAGATGCAACTGAAGCAGTTGAGGCATCATTTCTAACAGAATATATAGCGGCTGCCCAAACTATCTAATTAGAAATTACAAAATTTTATATCGAATACATGCTTGTTTCAATTAATTTATTCTTTAATTGACTGGGTTTGTTCAAGAATGAATTTATGAACTTAACCAAATGAAAGCCCGCGGGGGAACACCGCTCTTTTTCCAATTTTCTTGAAACATTGAACAACAACTTCTGCGGTTCATAACTGTCCATGCTGGTCTTCAAGGTTGTCCATAATACAATTAGATGTAACCTGACCAAAAATCTTACTACAACAACGATTACCTGATCAACATTTCTCACTCTCATAAAGTTAAAAAAAAACTCTGCAGGGTAACTTCCTCAAGCAGCCAACAAGGTAACTGCGGTCTGAATAAAAGTAACACTAGTCACCATTCAAAATAAAATGAAACCAAGAGAAATCCTGTTACGCAGTTCCATCTAAATGAATTCGCCTCTCTACACACCCAAGATACTTCTTAATTATCATAACGATGTTTCAGAAAATTTACACTGTGGCTCAAAATATAATGATCATTTGTAACAAGAGAAACCAAAACCGCGCATTAGTGTTTCTGCTTACTACGCGAATATTTATTTAAATTAAATTGTACCTAAACTACGACAAATGGACTCCTCTATAATTAGCACGCAAGTTAACAACCAAAGCTAGATGAAAAAAACAGTCCAAAATAAAAAAATCATCCAACGTCCACTTCACTAAGCAGTTTCATTACAGCAGTTCGAACTATCCACAACTGGTCATTCAATGGAAACAATTTATTTGATCTCATCATTTCCAAATAAGAAACTACTCGTTCACTTCCAAAAATTTTATTTCCACACCTTTTACCTTTTTTTTTTTCTGCAAAGACTCTAATTTACCGTCCTACAAAACTGTAACTGAACGCAAAAGTGACTGAATAAAAACTTAAAGTTAAGAACAACAAGTGACACATTTCCTAAAACATATTTTACAATGAACGCATATCACACTTCCAACTACCCTAATGCATACACAGTCAAGAAAATAACAAAAAATGCACTCGGGTGATTAAACAATATTCAACATCACCAGCAATAAAAAACAAAATGGGTTATGCCGAGCTACTTTCGAAAAACAATCAATGCAAATAATATTAAAAATTCCTGCAAATTAATTTTTCTTAATAGTAAAAAAACAAAATCCCGCAGTTATGCTAAGCCGAGAAGTCTCATACTTTTGACATTAAAATCGAGGAAAAGTATGAAATACTTTTTGCAGTTAATCTCTTCATTTCAAGTTCAAATCCTAAGCCCATACAAATTGAACTTAAAATTTTCATTACTATGAAACTTGACGGTCAAAAAAATTGATAAGACTTCTCTGCGTCTCCTTCACCATAATCTGTTATTCCTAAAACATTCTAACAAAAAATGAAATGGACCAGCAAATGTTGCTAAATAATAATATAACTCAACCAGGAAACATAACGCCGAAGGAGATGGTAAAACTATTAAAGGTTATTTATAAATCTACAAGAGACTCAGTATTTTACAACTTCACATAACACTTGGCAAAATACTTGAAAGAAAGTAGTAGCAATGCACAAATTGATCTAGTCACCATCAATATCAGCAATCAAGAAAAAAAATTGAGATCACAGAAAGTTAAAGATGGCATATCGTGTATACGTTAAGACGTAAATATTTA